CTTAATGATAGCTTCTTTGTAAAAGGAGCATTAATAGTACCTAGTTTATTTTGTCAAAAGTAATTTAGGTGATATTGGATATTACGATAAAAAAGGCAACATATTCCTCGTTGACCGCTTAAAACATGTGATTATTGTTGACGGAAATCAGGTGGGTGTATCTGCAGAATTTCTTTTACTCTTTTAACTGTTTGTTTCCTCTCATAGGATTTAAATGGTAAATTTTTTAAAGCGATCAATCATTTGTGGTTTTTTACTGATACCAACGTAAATGAAGAGGAGGATTATGCATAATTAGCGTATAAATTTTAGGTGACCCCACAAGAACTAGAAGGAATCTTTTTGTCAAATCCAAAAGTAGCTGAAGCAGCAGTAGTTTCAGTTCATGATCAACATTTCTTAGAGTTTCCAATTGCGTTTGTGGTGTTGAAACCAAAAACTGTTGCTACGCAAGACGAACTTTTAAAATATGTAAATGGTAAGGAAAGTTATTGTTAGAGTCAAAATGATTTAACTGCTTTTTACTTTGGAAATCAATTTATTGTCTAATTTTAGATCGTGTTGTATCTTTTAAAAGAATCTCCAAGGTGATATTTACTTTAACATTGCCTCGATCAGCAAGCGGTAAAATTTTACGACGAATGCTCAGGGAAACAGCTGCACATTACGTTTAGCAAAAACGGCTGTCAAATAATCGGCATGATTAAGACTTTTTATTTTGTTTGATACATTAGAATGCCTGCTTTAAAAATGTTACGGTTGATGATCTCGGCTTTATGCAATATTAGTAATTACAGCATTTGCATTACTGCTTAGCTCTTTTGTTCTATTTTTCTGTTTATTTGCTGTAAAGAAGTTGCAGTTTGAAATACGATGTTATAGTTTTATATATTCTGTTCATGAAGACCTCACAACAGTTGGTAAATTCTTGTCTGAAAAACTATTTACATATTTTAGTAGGTATCAAATATAGACTGAACATAAAGCATATAACTATCGTTCTGTGTGTACATAGATGAGAAGAGCTACATATCAGGAGAATGAAAAGGACACAGGAGAGAATCTTGTAGCAGTTTTTTGTTAAGACGATTTAAGGTTCGCCTTAATTCAAAAAATTACATGGAATTAAAAAAAAGTCTCTTTCCTTCTTTCAATGAACACAGGTTGACAAAACCAAAAAAAAATTGCAAGCTTAATAGTTCTTTTTTTGATTGATCTCTGCTTTTTGAAATATAGTGTTTACAACGAAAATTTACATTTGCTTCGTTGTTTCTTTTTTTTCTTAGATAAATATGCTATTTTTTAAGGCGTAAGGCGCGAAATATAAAGAGGCACAGGCAAATGGGTTTATATGATAATAGGTGTTTCTACTGATATCTTACAATGGGTCAACGTAAGTGCAAACTAAAACAATGTTAATGTTAGTATTGCTTTGACAACACAGGTTACTGTTTGCCCTCTCTTTCTAAAACAGTACGTATTCTTCGTAAACCTGAAAAATTTGGAAGACATTTTACCTAATGGCACACAGAAGGATATAAGCAGCGTTCAATAAAAACATTTACTGATATAATACCTTCAAGTAACATCCCCTTTTCGCACGAGAACACCATCCTTAACCATCCAGGTCTTGAATCGTTGAAATATTTGCCTGTACTCAGATAAACTCCCTCATCGCAAAGCTTTCTCCAAAATTTGTATTCTTCTTCATGTGTTAGCTCAGCCAGGTACTGAAAAATTATTTAGTCAAACATTTAAAAGTGTAGGAGCTGAAGATTCATTACGTTTTGTTGAAAAACTAAATAAAGCACTAAAGAACTATTATTTTTTGACTTACGTCTTGAAAATTAAGATAGATATAAAAACCAGCAGTACAGGGAGCGAAAGGTATACCCATCTCTTGGAATTTTGTTTTTACCAAGCTGCATTGCTCTCCAAGTCTTCGAACATTTTCTTTGTGGAACTTTTCTACCCAATCTAAAATTGACTGTTTGCTGGTAGACTAAACTATCAAATGCATGCTGCAAGGTTACAGCGTATGGATAAAGTGCTCAAATGTTACACTCAAAATTAAAAAGGTGTACAGAGTTTTTCAAACTGATTCGCAGCTAATAAAGACTTTTTTCTGACTTGTTTTTCAAACTATTTGAGTGAAAACCGACCAAGATCACTTAAGAGATTAATGGCGAAGTCTTGCGCTAATGATGAACATGGCTGAAGCAATTCTATTCTACTTAAGCATTTAGTAGCTTTTAGGTGGGTGGTATGTATCACCGATATTTTAGCTCCTGGCATACATAGATCCTGAAACAGTTTGGTATCTTTTTGTTCGTCACTTTATTATAATCTCAAAGTAATTCGTAATCTACACGTCTATATTTATGTATCCAACAATGAATTCTAGGCTTTTCTTTTTTTTTTCAGGTTTTATGTTCGCCAGTTGTATAATGAACGACACTTAAAAAATATTAAATTAACCAGAAAAAATTTACTTTACTGAAACCCCAAACCCAGAAGACTTTATCTGCATCGTGCAATTGATCTCGGTAAGCCAAAAAGCTTTCAAACTTTTCAGCTTCATAATAAACAGACGACACGAAAATTTCGTCAATAATAACAAACATATTTTTCCTAAAAAAAAAAGTATTTTAGTTTCTGTTTTTATATTCATAATAAAATATTGTCATTAAGAATAACAGTTTAGATACACAACTACAGCAATATTTTCATCTGTGAAAGTAAAAACACCTACGATGTTGCCCAGTTACAAACGTCAATAATTTCGTTTCTTGAAAACACATTACCATACGGATTCTGAGGATTAATCAGCAATATTGCTCTAATTTTTGCTCCCTAAAATTAACATCAAAATGTGGTCAATTTTATTGTGCATATTCTCTGATCAGATTTATTGGAATACCAAAACAAAAAACGTCAAAAACATAATTTCTTTTCTTAATAATTCCAGTGTTTTTTAAAAACAAATTCATTACATAAAGTTTCAAAAAAAGAAAAGAACAAGCAAAAAAAAAATTTTTTTTTTGTTTAAATAAACAAATTATGTGTTACCTTAGCTGTGTATTGGTTATATGCGTTTTCAAGATCTACAACTTCTAATTTTGGATTATATGGATCGCTCTAAAAATAAACTTTTATTTTCATACCAATGTTTATTGAAGTAAATGATTGACAGTTCAACTTTTTTTTTTATGATTTCATTTCAAACACATACAATTGGCATTGGTAAAGTTGTAACACCGGCACGCTCCTTAAAATCATTGGTAACTCTGCCATAATAAGGTGCCGGACACAGCAGAGAATCTATAATTTAACAGAACATCTTTCCTCTGTCGTTTGCTTTACTGTTTTTTTTCAGAAATTCCTTTACATTACAAAATTGATAGTACTTCAAGCAGAACCATTTTTAAGAAACTCTGTTCTTTTTTTCTGCATGAAACTCAAAGATACCTACTGTTTATCTGACAAGAAAAAAAACTGTGGTAAAACTCTAACCGCCTTTGTCTAACAGCGTAAAAGCAAGCATATCGTAAGCTCCAGTAACTCCAGGAGCCAGCTGCAAATTCTTTTTGTCAACATCTACCTTCAAAAATCTGGCAAAATATGCGGCAAGAAGTTCCTTAGCCCTAGAAAATGATATTTGATGCCAGCAAATACG